GTACTTGACTACTACAAGTACTGTGAGTACTACAAGTACTACGAGTACTTACGAGTACTTGACTACTACAAGTACCGTGAGTACTACAAGTACTACGAGTACTACAAATCCTATGCGTACTACAAGTACTACGAGTACTATGAGTACTACAAGTACTACGAGTACTACAAATACTGAGTACTATGAGTACTACAAGTACTATGAGTACTACAAATACTGTGAGTACTACAAGTACTATGAGTACTACAAGTACTGTGAGTACTACGAGTACTACAAGTACTACGAGTACTATGAGTACTACTACTACACCAAGTACTACAGAGGGGGGACTTCTTGCAGTATTTCAGTTCTAGTCCAAATCTGAACCACAGACCAGGACTACATCAAGACTAAACCAGGACTAAACCAGGACTAAACCAGGACTAGACCAGGACTAGACCAGGACTAGACCAGGACTGAACCAGGACTAAACCAGGACTGAACCAGGATTAGACCAGGACTAGTCCAGGACTAAACAGAACTAGACTAAGACTAGTCCAGGGACTAGACCAGGACTAGTCCAGGACTAGACCAGGACTAGTCCAGGACTAGACCAGGACTAGTCCAGGACTAGTCCAGGACTAGACCAGGACTAGTCCAGGACTAGACCAGGACCAGGACTAGTCCAGGACTAGACCAGGACTAGTCCAGGAATAAACAGGACTAGACCAAGACTAGTCCAGGACTAGACCAGGACTAGTCCAGGACTAGACCAGGACTAGTCCAGGACTAAACCAGGACTGAACCAGGACTAGACCAGGACTAGGACAGACCAGGACTCCAGGAAGACCAGGACTAGTCCAGGAATAAGAGGACTAGACCAGGACTAGACCAGGACTAGACCAGACTAGTCCAGGACTAGACCAGGACTAGTCCAGGACTAGACCAGGACTAGTCCAGGACTAGACCAGGACTAGTCCAGGACTAGACCAGGACTAGTCCAGGAATAAATAGGACTAGACCAAGACTAGTCCAGAACTAGACCAGAACTAGTCCAGGACTCCAGAACTAGACCAGAACTAGACCAGAACTAGACCAGGACTAGACTAGATCAGGACTAGTCCGGGTCTGTTTCTTGTGTTTGACCTAAAATGGAAGTGAGGAGGCTGAGTTCTGATTGGTCCAAAACATAAACAACTCTCACACGTGCACTCTCACGTGCACACTCTCACACTCTCGTGCACACTCTCGTGCACGCTCAGAGGAATGTGAGCAGACAGCGCCCCCTGTGGAACTGTCTGGAAATGCACCAGGACTCCTCCCTCACTTCCTCTGTCCTCAGACCCAGACCCAGACCCAGACCAGACCCAGACCAGACCCAGACCCAGACCAGACCCAGACCCAGACCAGACCCAGACCAGACCCAGACCCAGACCCAGACCCAGACCCAGACCAGACCAGACCCAGACCCAGACCAGACCCAGACCCAGACCAGACCCAGACCCAGACCCAGACCCAGACCCAGACCCAGACCCCAGACCAGACCCAGACCCAGACCAGACCAGACCCAGACCCAGACCAGACCCAGACCAGACCCAGACCCAGACCCAGACCCAGACCCAGACCCAGACCAGACCCAGACCAGACCAGACCCAGACCCAGACCAGACCCAGACCCAGACCCCAGACCCAGACCCAGACCCAGACCAGACCAGACCCAGACCCAGACCCAGACCAGACCAGACCAGACCAGACCAGACCAGACCCAGACCCAGACCCAGACCCAGACCCCAGACCCAGACTAGACCCAGACCAGACGACCAGACCAGACCCACACCAGACCCAGACTAGACCCAGACTAGACCCAGACCCAGACCCAGACTAGACCAGACCCAGACCAGACCTAGACCCAGACCCAGACCCAGACCAGACTCAGACCCAAACCCAGACCCAAACCCAGACCCAAACCCAGACCAGACCCAGACCCAGACCAGACCCAGACCCAGTCCAGACCCAGACCAGGACCCAGACCAGACCCAGACCCAGACCACCCAGACCCAGACCAGACCCAGACCAGACCCAGACCCAGACCCAGACCCAGACCAGACCCAGACCCAGACCAGACCCAGACCCAGATCAGACCCAGACCAGACCCAGACAAGACCCAGAACAGGTCCAGGTCCAGACCAGACCCAGACCAGACCAGACCCAGACCCAGACCCAGACTAGACCCAGACCAGACCCAGACCAGACCCAGACCAGACCCAGACCCAGGCCAGACCCAGACCCAGACCCAGACCCAGGCCAGACCCAAACTCAGATTCATCAGTGAAGTGACTTTTGTTTGAATCTGCGCCTCAAAGTGAAACAAACAGAAACTTTCTCTTCTCCTCCTCCTCTCGTCTTTGTTGTTCCTGTGATCAATAATCAGAGAGATAAAGAGAGAAACAAAGAGAGAGAGGGAGAGAGAGACCTTCAGCCCCAGATAAGAGAGAGAGAAGGAGGAAGAAAGACGGGAAACA